TACGTATAATAGACAAACTGTAAATTCCTTTAATTTCCGGCTTCGACTTGCTTATACATAACGCGCCTATCTAAATCCTACCAAATGAATTCGACATTAAAACTGTACGTTTCTTGGGCAGGCGGGAGAGTGGTTGTTGTAATATATTATCGTGGAATATTAATATTAATAAGTAATAACTAAATAATATTTGTACACCGTATGCCACGTTGCCGTTTGGTTACGGGATTTTATTTCTTTACCTACGAACGTTTGAAGGTTTACTGTTTCATTCGAAAATCGTATCATTATTTTTAGTGAGCTGATTTTGGATACGAATCGAATGAGTATTTAGCTCTTTAATGTCTCGAATGACGCAGATCTTAACAAATGCTTCGAAAATACATTGTTCCGTCTCGAGGACGAGGCGGTCGACTTATATTTTTACGGTGCAGCATGATAGAATGGCGCAGTACCTATGACAAGTATTCACTGCAACGTGATGCGTCACACAATTATTGTATATTATAATATCTATTTAGTGGACGCGCGTGCCATTTTTTATAAACAATTTACTGGAAATAAAAAAAAGTTTAAACGTCGTCGACTCATTACTAATGACATAACTAAGTGTGTTGATATTATATAAATTATATTATTACTCTACTACATGTGTTGTGTTTTTTGAATCCACACTTTTCAAGTACAAACTAATAATAATCTAGTTGTACGCTCTAACCGAAATAAAACAAACCTATAATTTATTAAATCATACAAAAACGATAAATAAACAATAAACAATTTAAAGAAGTATTGGAAGCCACTGTGACTTGCCTTGCACTACATCGATTTTTTAAAATCTGCAAGAGTTGAAACATAGGCGAGAAAACCAAAATGATCGAATGTGACAATATGACGAATATTTCAAAAAGTAGTGTTTAAAAATGGAAAATCTTTTGATTCGATTTTCGAACATATACGCACTCTATGGCTGTCTAATGCACACAGACAAAAAGTGATCCACACTTTCTGTCCCCCTCTTCCACTCTCTCCAAAAAAGCATCACTCACACGGTTGATGTTAAATAAGTCACTTGTCCTATAATACTCGTCCTTTACAACATTATTATCTATACGATCATTATTTAGTCATACCTATTGTATAGCTAGTGACTGGTATGCACATTATAGGTGCATAGGTGCGGCCATTTCACTGATTTCGTGCGCAGAATTCGTAGAATCGCGTTTTTTTTTTTTTTGTTGTTGTTGCCATTGTTGACTAACGTTACAGATAACGTCGAACGGCGCAACGGCAGATAGGGCACGCGCGCTACAGATCCAACGCTGCACGGGAAGTGCATCGACGATACTGCGGCGGAAGTAGATACGCCCCGTTTTCACCGCGACGAAATCACGAGCCGGGGACGCGAAATGACGTCGACGGGACGGTAAACGTTTTACGTGGCTGTTGAATTTTCGACAGGAAAAAGATTGTAAAAACCGTTGGCGCGCGTTCGTGAAAACCGACGAAGACGACGCTGATATCGCCGTCGCAAACTTTTCGAACGAATTTCGATTTTGGGGCACGAACGCGCTCCAATTGGAAAACATCATCACGACGGCGGCTGTGTTGTCGAGGTCGTATCCGCCGCCGCCGCCGCCGCCAAGTCTATACCATAGGTATTCGGCGGTCGGGAGAAAAGAAAACAATATTATTCGTTATTTACACGTTATTACGTCCCGGCGGCGGTGGCGACTCGCATTAAATAATAATATTATTATGTTGTAAGTATTATAACGATGTATGCGTAGATACACCGTGCAGTACTCTTAGCGACGACGCAATATTTATGACATACCGCGCGCGCGACACGTCTCCACAACAATCCGATAACAATAACAAAAACAATGACGACGGCGATGACAGGCATGGTAGCCGTACCTTCGCGTCAATACGCATACGTTGTTGAAATGCGAGCACGTTGTGTACGGCTGCAGCGGCGGCGGCTGACCGCGTACCGCACAACGCAATACGATGATGCCGTACGTATAGAGCGGCACCGCAAGTACGTGTCACGCAGTGGCGTAGCCAGGGGGGGGGGGGTTGGGTGTCGTACCCTCCTCATCCCGTAGATTATTTTAAAATTTTTAATTATTCAATAAATCAGCGGTTCCCAAAGTCTTTTGGTTTACGCATCTCCAAGAATAAAAAAAAAAAAATTAATCGCGCCTCTCTCGAATGTGTGAAACGAAAATTGTTATTAGTGTATAGTACTATATTAATATGCTTATAGTGAAAATGTACAATATCAGTGTTTATATCGCGCCTCACCTGTTAAACACTTGCGCCTCCCAAGAGGGCCGCGCCTCACGGTTTGGGAACCGCTGCAGTAAATTACAGCGTTAAAAACAAGAAGACTATGCGCGGTTAATGTGTAATGGAATTCAAACAGTTTTAGATTATAAACAAAATAAATTCTAATTAAAATGCATGTTTTGAATGACTTTTTTTTTATTCGCTTTCTGTGCGTCCTAAACCTTAACCTTCTCCCCGTTCAAAAAATCCTGGCTACGCTACTCTGGTAACACGAACACGCGGCAACCACGTATACGACACGACGACGACATTGTGTGTGGTGGCGTTTTCGTCGTCGCTTCGTGTGCGCGGCTGTATTATATCGTTTACTCGGAGACGTTACGACACGCCGGTTAGAGCGTTTTGTGACGCGGACTGGACCGAAGAACGGACACGCTATATAGACGAGCGGACCGCAAGAGAAAGTGCGGCCGTGGAAGGCGTTGCGTGCGCGCGAGTGATAGAAAGAATAGTGAGAGAGTGAGCGAGAGGAGTGAGACGGAGAGAGCCGGCGGCGGTAAGTAAAAACGTTCGTCGTCGTCGTCGTCGCCGCGAAGGTCGATGGGTAAAGAAAAAAAAAAACTTTAAGTGCTCACAGTTATAATAATATTATTATTATTAAAACTACGTAAATTTCACCTCCGCGGTGGTCGTCGAAATACCGGTAGTACTGGTATAACGCGCTCGCTATACTTCGGTAATACCTTTGTGATATAGGTACTTATACGGTACGTGACGTCGTATGCGCTAGTCGGTAATATTATTATAATTCATTTACATGTATAATACTTGATATTATTATTATCATATTCGTGTTATGGATGGCGGTCGTCCTCGGGGCGTACGACGGGCGTTGTGTAATTTCTTTACTTTTTCGTGTGCGCGACGAGGAGACTGCAGCGGTCTCTAATCTGGAGGGGAAAGAGTGTGCCGGCGGATCAGAGAAAATCGGATCCGATGGTTGTGCGGTCGGTTATAGTCGGTTACACGTAATATCTTTTATTACGGTTTGCCAATCAATACCATTTGTAATGCGCGATCGTCGCCGCTATCGTTTACAAAACTGATCAACGTCTTACGGTTTGATAACTACTCGTATAGTGTAACCGTTCCTCGTATACATTCCTCCATACGATCGTCCGAATTACGACAGCGAGTTGTGCGGATGGTGTCGCCTCTCTGGCGAGGATGTAGGAAATAATAAACAATTATTAATATCATATCGTTATTGTTGTTGTTCTTTTTCGTCAGCACGCGATGGCGGAAAAACGCGTTTGCTTGTTACGACGGCGACAACGACGACAAAGGCTATACATGTGAAACAATATAAATCGTGCTTATTCGTCGTCGCCATTGCCGCCGCCTACACTGAATACGGGTGGGCTGCAGCTGCAGTTGTTTTTTACCGTATAATACTAATTATTATGGACTACTATTTCATATACATATACGCGATTAAGTGCATAACACTGTGGTCTAGGATTATCCGCAATAACGCTGTCAATTATGATTCATCTGTATTATGACGTATCGTCGTTCCGACCGCGGTAACAACCGACAGAAGACGAAATCGGCCAAAAGTCCGACCGATTGGACGCGATCGCGATACAATGATAACAATGCACATATGGCTACGTCTAAGCGCATCGACTGCAATTTACAGTCCTATGACGTGTTTTGATCTGACGGGCAGGCGGGAGGGTGGTTATGGACCGTGGAGATGAATATTGACGAAACCGGTTATAATATTATTATGAACCTTAACGAGTGCGTGGTTACGTCGATCGGTTAATCGGAGAGGAAGAGAGACAGAATGAGAGAGTGATATGGCGATGTCGGTGGTGTCGCAGAGGAAGGTTCAACGAGACGAACGGATGGATGAGAACGAGAAATGTTGATGGACTGACAGTGACTGGTAGAGAGAGAGGTAAAGAAAACTTCGAGCGACGCAGCCTGGTTCTGCTCTTCGGCAACGTTCCGGATCACGTGCACTCGGACCCGCGATGACGGATTCGTATGTGTGTACGACTCGGGTGCGTGTTGGCCGTACGATTTACGTTCGGAAATCACTTAAACGTGTGCCTAACCTAACCTATCCTCTGCAGACTGCAGTAATGTAATAACAACTTTAATGCTACCCGACAACCGATAACAATAATAATATACGGAAGACAACACTCGAGTATAAAATGTACGGTGAGCAGCGATAATACCGGAGTGGCGCGCACGCGTGTGCACCGCCTTCGCCGCTTTAGATTTCTCTTCGCGGGGCCGGTTGACCGTGTCGGCGCGCGTGCGTCCGGTATCTGGAGTGTGTGCTCGTGTTATAAAACCAACTGACCCGATCGACAAACCCTATACGGTTAACTAGGCACAGGTATGTAGACAGTGTTGTTGCGGGTACAGCAGCGGTCACCTCTATACAAACACACTAACCGTTCGACCGTCGCGGGGTGTACGCGTTAGGTTGTGATGGGCAGGGGGGGGGGAAAGAAGTGGGCAAAGTCTCCACCGCCATAATGTCGCCGCGTACACGCAAACACAACCTTCGTCACGCCGGACGTCGGAGGGTAGATACCGTGTCGTGGCGATCGTACAAAATATGACGCGATTTATGCGTAGGTACGTAAACATAGAAAACGATAATATACATCGTGTGTACTTACACCACTTGCGCAGGAAGCTGCTGGTGAGCTTGGTGCACAGCTTGCCCTTTTTGTTGTGCATCTCGACGGCGGCGTGTACGTGTGTGTGGGACCTCGCGGGCTGCTCCTGGCTGCTGGTACGCGGTCGACTTGTCGGTTTACGCTCTACCAAACGCGGCGACGAGTGTGCAGTTCACTGCGAGACCATCAATCCGACGACGACGGGCTTTCGGTAGGCCGCGATTTACGGACAGTATTACTAGCTTTTATTACGGTTATTTACTGCGATCGTAGTTTAGATGGAACAAAACGCGTTACACGGTGGCGGCGACGGCGGCGCCAGAGGAGAGAGAGCTGTGCAGCTGCTGTTGCGGCGGCGGCGGCGTCGTCGTTACGTGTGTTCGGAGCGACGCGCGGCGTCGAAAGTGCGCGCGAGACGGTGACACGGCGGCGGTGGCGGCGTCGACGAAGAATATTGTAATTAATAATAATCCGTGTGCGAGACGAGCGCGCAGAGGAACGGCAGTCGTCGACGACGGTGTTGCGCGTTAGTGTTGTTCAGCGCTCGTGAAATACGAGAAACGATTGCGTTTGGCGCGCGAGCGAAAAAAAAAAAATAATAAATAATCGTCTGAACGATTGTCGTCGGCAATAATGAAATAATAATATTATGTTATTGACGTTAGCTGTTGTTCCGCGCGCTGTGCTGCGCTGCGGTATATAGTCGGGCGGCGGGTCGCGATAACAGACTGACTGACTCGACTTGACCGACGGACTATAGCGGCGGCGGATGGCTCTCGCGGCGCGCGCGACCTCACTCCCTCCCTCGCCAATGGCCGACGCGCTCTCACCGCCGCGACCACTCTACTCGTGCACCACAAGAATATATAATTTACGTGACGGAGAAGAAGAAGAAGAAGAAGAAGAAGAAGAAGTAGTAGTAGTAGTAGTAGTAGTAGTAGTAGTAGTAGTAGTAATAGTAGTAGTAGTAGTGTAGTACAGAAGAAGGTTACGTCGTCGCGGCGATGGTGACACGTCTATAACGTACACACACACACACACACACCGGTTCGGTCGTCTTCACTGGTTATAGGTCGAACGCAATAAAAGAATTATTGAGAAACGTACCTAAGTGCCCTCCTAGTGGGTAGGTATCTAAAACATTGTACTCTAGAATGTTGTGTACACTTTACCGATCGTTAAGACAGTTAACGACTTAAAACATTTGAACGTATAATATTTATCGTCACGAGAACGACGCGGCACTTCCATGGTGGCACGCAGTTTGTCTCAAAAGCCCCGTACCTTCGACGACGAGTGACTGGCGCAGCAAATAATAAGCGGCTTTTGCGATAGCGACCCGTAAAAGCATTACAGTTGAAAAAAAAATACTTATAAACATTTTCAAAATAGCTATTTTTTTTTTCTTAAAAATTATAAAAAATTTCAAGTTACAGTATCTGGTTGAGTTTATAATTTTTGTTGTGAGAATCATAATTATAAGCTTAGAAAAAACTAAAAAATAGACTAATATCATCATTAGTCGGGGCGGAGTATTACACAAAAATTGTCTAATTCTAAGTTTTTGTTGAAAAGCTTAACTATACAATATTATAATAAGTAAATTTATTTTTACAGATTATTATCATAAGTAACGTACATCTATAATACAATAATTACAGTTGATTAAACACGTGTTTGACAAATGAGACCAGTTGAAATATTTTGCTAACATATGGCTATATTTTTGTGAAAACCAAAAACTTGACTTGCTTTAACTTGAACAATTTTACTCTATTTTGAGTTTTGATATATATTTTTTTGTAATGTACGTCATTGAATTGAAATTTCCTTATAGATAATATTGTTGAAAAACCTTTTTATATATATATATATTTGTGTGATGTTATAAAATAATGACCTTGTTTTTCCGGTAAAACTAACCTCGTGATTGGAGATCATTTAGGGGTAAAAAATTGGTTGATTGTAAACTTAAACTTAATTAAAACTACGTTATTGAGAAGTCCCGATTATAGATTTTTTACAAAATCTTATATCAGTGATTGTTTACTATATTTCTATTAATCCTATGATAATATTAGACTGTACCATCATGACATATAACTGGATAGTTAAATCCAATTTTTTCTCGAATTCATTATTATAATTGTTATCATCAAGGTATATTATGATGATTGCGATCGGTTGAAATAATAGCCGTTTTTTTTGTTGTGTCATTACATACTGTTGGCGAAATGGTCGATAGCAGCAATCAAATTGATAAGGTGGCGAAAGCGCCTCGCCTTTAACCACACCTTGTTTATAACTCATATATATATATAAATACAAACGTTAAGTATTGACGGAAAATCAAAAATATCACTCAATAAACTTGACGAAAAATAATTAATATTTTGTAATATTATACATTACTTTACAATATTATTACCATGGGCTTAAGCGTTCCATTTACTAACTTAGGAATTAATTATTAATCTTGTATGCTTCAGTAATACGTATGCGTATATACATATTTTTAAATAACATTGAAAATTTAACTATAGGTTTTTTCAAATCGAATTAACTCTTAAGCCTGGGATTAAAAATACATGCACATACATACGGCTCAATTTTCATAAATATTTTTTGATGGGTATTTTAAATTCTAAAGTTCTTCGCCACAACATATTAATTATCCATCATGGATTAAAATATTTGGCTAAAAATAAAAAACTTTCACATTATTGGTCATGTTATTTCATACTTAATTTTGATACGTATAAATTAAAAATCTAATTCACGTTAATTAACGTATTCAAACGTGGTAAATATGAGTGTATAATTTTGAATTCAACTGACTCAAATGGTTTCGTTTAATCCCACCATCCGCCAAGCAAAAAATAAATCCATTTAGATTCGCTACTAGACGGTAAAAGTTAAAATCAATACTGAAGAACATCATTATTGACGTTATTTAATATAGGTACATGATAATAATTAATAGTATATTGCAATATACCTGTACCGTCTTTAACCATATAATACATTCGTGAATATACGATTAATGATTATATGTTGTACATTAATTATGCACGGCACTATATAGTGGAGTACTTATTAGGTAACGTAATGAAATAGAGCTGAAAACGAGATAGTCGAAAACGACAGACGTAAAAAAAGCGAAAAAAAAGTAAGGAAAAAATTAAAAATATTATTATACAACATAGCTGATGTATGTACATGTATTGTAATGGTTTATAACGGGTGAGAGGACGACCGCGCCGAGGACGTCGTCGTCGTTGGCAGCGGCGAAAGTGATTTGAAACTGTGAATGTATATTATACACGTGCACCAACTACCTATAATCATTAACCATTAACAACGGAAATAATAACATTTTTAATATAATAATAATAACATTAACACTGAATGAAATGTAAAATCATACGACCATCGAACCAAGACACAGTGTAGTATTTACGTAATAATTATATACATTATGTATAGGTGGTGTATAGTGTATGTAAACGAAAAAACATCGATTCACCAACAATCAGATGACGGCGATGGAATATGAAAGTAAATCAAAATAAAAAAAAACATAATAAATAGTGGTAAAAATGTTTATTTATTTACTGTTTTTATTTTTATTTCATGAGTTAACTCTGCATTGTTTTTGGCTGAAAGTGGTGTTGATTATATTAATAATAAATTAAACTAACGGATGGTATTTACGTTTGAATTCGAGGTTTGATTACATTGAAAAAAAAAAATAAAAATAATAAATATTCAGTAATTTTAGTTAACTCATAAATCATAATATATTATATGGTAATCAGATTTTAAATTTTTTTGAAATAAGCGATTTTTATGAATTTTCAAGGATAGTTATACATGTGAATATAAAATGTAATGTCATTAACTTAATGGTTAGGCAAGGTAAAAGTAATTATTGTATAAAATAATACTACAATATTATTTCAAGTATTAAAATATCAGCACCTAAAATATTATGTATAAATGTATAATATATCTATCTAATAAAAAAAAATCCAGTAAAAAGAACTTTATCAAATAACTCTGCTCAATCATTTACAATTTATAATTTTTTTAGTCATACCTAGACTTTCGTGAAATTTCCATTTGTACAAGTAGGTTTCTGTTATAAGAATGGTAAACATAAATACTATAATTTATACTAGTTATTATAAAGTGTAATTGACAAAGAAATATATTTGTAAAATATATACTTTCAAGGAATAGGAATTGTTTTCTAAAATTGCATAACTAATAAAGTAAAAAATGTATACATTATAATAAGAATAACTTTTTTTTTTTTTTTTTTAAATAAATCCAAGAAAGTATAATTTATTATAGCTTAAAGTGAATAAATTAATAGTAGATACAATGTATTATATTTAGTAAAGTACTAAAAATTTGTAAAAAATATATTATTCAATCTACATAGGTAGGTACCTACTTACACAGAATTATAATTTTTTACTTTAAATCAATATTGTTTGTAATATTTAAAGTATCAAATTATTTTCCTTCGAAAGCAAATCATTTTTTAGTATTCCACTTATTTAAAAGTTCAATCCTTATAACTTTAAATAATATGTGTTATTATTAGGGCTAAGATTTTAATGACCTAAAAAATCTAAAAAATAACTCAGTAAGAAAAAGTAACCTCATAAAATGCTCGAAAAAAAATTATATTAATAAATTAATAAACAATAGTTTATATTTTTAAGTATACAAATAAATTCATCTTCTAGTATAATGGCCAGCGTCATTTGTTCTGAAATTAATATATTTTTAAATAAAATAATATTGTAAAATTTAAATTTAAATTTAAACTAAACTCAAATTTAATAATAAATTGATGAAGATAACACGTAACTGAACATTATTATCGGTTATTTCACGGTTAGTCCAATATGAGTATATTTTATATAAAATATATATTACACAGACGATTGGTATTTTTAAATATTAAATATTTTTAGAAAATATATTTACGATTTTAATTTTGTATCTATATGTTTGTACAATAATTTATAACGACTATTTAAAAAATCTATTTAAAATTTTATAAAAATATTATCCAGATTTCATTAGAGTATAAAAAATGCCATAAAATTGAAAAAATTACCTTAAAATGCTAAAAAATGACCACAAATTAAAAAAGTACAAAAAAATGCAAGATAAAAACTATATATTGGAATTCGTAGATAACCAAATCACATTTTGTACTTGAAAAGTTATATCCTTGTAAATCCTGAAAAGAAATGCAAAATCCTATACTATCCTAACCTTAATTATTATATTAATTATATTAATAATTAATAGGTTCTAATTTGTTTGATGAATGTTTAACAGCTTATGTGTGAACATTTTATAGGTTACCATTAACAAATCGACACATTTTAACATGTGAAATTTGAATTAAACAATTAAACATTACTAATAGGTCAATTATTTTAAATTCAAAGTAAATTCTTTGAAGGTGTTTATATTATTATGATGTAGGTTATACTAAAAATATTAATATAAATGTATTGAATTTTCGTTTTTCGTTAAAACCTCAGTGATAAACGAAGAAAATAACTAAAAATGTAATTTCTTATAAATTATAAAAAAAAAATTAGCTAAGTAGGCAATAGGCATATGAATACCATTCTCACGTAATATAAATAAAAAATAAAACCCATGTTGAAAATACTATTACAATTATTGTCAAGGAGAAACACATTTTATTTATAATATAA